TTTCTCTCCTCACATTCAGCTTGCTTGTGTTTGTATAGCACATTTTCCACATGCCAGTAATTCAGTATTTTTTTATTCTTGTTCTGCGTTAAATTTAAAGAATTTGTTGTGGAGTGAGAGGAACTAAAATAAGTTTATAGTGTTTAGAATGTTTGTAAATGTTTAGTTTTATTTACTGGTAAATATGTGACTTATACTTTGGCACAGCTGTTTTTTGTTTGTTTGTTTTTTGTCTCAACAATGCAGTTTTGACCTGGTGCAACTTTTAGATGCAGTACATTTAAAAAGTAAATTTGTAGGCATGATACAAAGTTTCCAGGACAGTTGCCATAGTTGAAGAAACACCCATGACCAATCTGATGCCATCAGCTGATGAGCCACAGTAGGATTTTTGTTGAAACTCCAAACTAAACGCTGGCTTTCTCTGTCTGTCAGAACCTGCACACCGTGAGCTTCTCCAGGCCCGGGTACATGGAGCTGAAGCCTGTGTCATTTGACGTGGGCTCAGAGATCTCTCTCTCCTTCAGCACGAAGAGTGAAAACGGCATCATCCTGTTCGGCAGAGGAGGACTGACCTCTATGACGCAGCTGACGCAGGGCCTGACGCCTGTCCACATCCCACGCCGCTCGCGCAGACAGACCGGAGAGGTGCTCACACACACCTCACACTCTTATTCAGTCATGAGATTACGAAATATGTTTAATGCTGATAAACCCTTTTACATAGATTGACATTCCAACTGCTCAGCAGTCCTGTACACAACAGTCCTATAGTCCCAGTACTCTTTTTTTTTTTTTATCAGTAAACAATGGAGGAAAATTCTTTATAAATCAAATCCGGATTTTGTGGGGAGGCTTTGAACAGTTTCATGCAGCCAGACTTATTGTTTTTACATTCCACTTAGAGGCAGGCTTATCAAAAATCACAGCAGTAGACCAGCAGGGACAAACAAACGGCTTCAAAGAAAACATGAGGGAAATGAGTGGAAATGTGTGTGGACTTCGTAAACAGCATTTCTGTCCTGAAGTACTGATTATTTCAAAAACGTTCTTCGCCAATGAAGTGGAATAGATGAGAAATTACTAGTTGCATTCCGAATAATTCCAAATAATTTTCATAATTCCTTTAGAAAAGTGGTTACCAAACATTTTCTGCTGGACCCCTTTCTGTAGAAAAAAATTATTTTCTCAGGAATAAAACATGCATCACTCTCTCAAAATCTCAAAAGTTGACGTTTGCCAGTTTTCTTAATTGAAAAAAATGCTTGATCTGATAACAGAATTTATCTGTTTGTCAAATTTGAGTAAGTCATCAAAAAGTGACCATAGATTGACCATATATGGACAAAGGGCCTAAATAAATATTAGGGGACCTGATGCATTAGAGGATCCAAACACAACAGTCTTCATTTGTTTAAATGCAAAAAATGCACAACCAACCATGTTTTTAAGTCTTTCAAACATCCAAGAAGGGGCTCTGGGGAGTTACTTTCCATCTTTACTGGCAGTGTTTTTTTTTTTTTTTTAAACCCAGTTGGGGGCATATATATAAATATA